ATGTATGTATGTATGTATGTATGTATGTATGTATGTATGTCTGTATGACCATTCTCCTTGACTCCGGAATACAAAATGGCGTTGCAGCCCGAGAGTTCCTGTGCAGACAGCGCTAAGACGCTTGAGAATCTGATTTCATGCGGACGGAGTCGGAGATACTGCCAAAGTTACCAACCTGAAAAAAGAAGAGGATAGCCGTCAAATGCACAAGAAAGAAAGTCACAGCTGCGATGCGGCTTAGAGCAAAACAAGAAGGGGAGATAAAATGTCGTGAAACACTGTTATGATGTAAGAGAATAGTATGAACTATGCAAAATAGGTATGAGAAGCATTATCTAAATCAAGCTCAGCTGCACTTACAAGTGTGGACGAAATCATTTTTTTGCTAGCGGTATGGCATGACGAATCCAAACCTATAAGAGACAAAATAAGTAAATCAAACATGAGAGTGTTCCTGTAAAGCCTCGGCTAAGACGTTATAACTCCTTATTTGGCCAGCGTTTCGGCGTTGCGGCGTTCGTCAGAGCCTGAGCCGAAAATATTCGAAATACATCCATATCGAGCACCTATTCAGACTTCAGCTTAGTTCAAGTATCTTACCTACAGATATATTAAAGGGTCTCGTTAGGCACAACTAGAAACCTACCTCAAGAGAGGGATATTACCTTTGAACCACCTTTCAAACTACCTATTCAAACGCTTTCGCAGTGGGTGGGCTCCGGGTTACCTGACTCCCGACATGAAGCAGTTTTATGGTTTCTTTCATTTTTTCAACCGGTTCATTTTGGGGTTTTAGCGTCAATTCAAAACGTTTCTAAAGTTTTGCACGCAGAGGTCGTGGGCTCCCGCATCTCACATTCCTGATTGAGACTCCAAGCTCTATGTTTTCGTGGCGTTGCCTACGATGGTCTCTGACAAGAAAGGTCTTTCAGAGCGTGGGACGCTTTTTGAAAATGGTTTCTTGCATGGTGTAGGGGCATGAGCAGTGAGTATAGAACTATGGTCCATTTGCGTTGAATGGCCTTCTGAATGCCAAAAAAGGTGTGAAAATGATTTCATCAGAAACTGCCGATTTAACCCAGTAAGCGTCGCTTGTTTCATTCATGACGTCGACTGTCCGCACAGTAGAAAGCGCCGGCGGACTGCGCATTGAAAATAACCTGCACGGTAGCCAAAAAAGGGAGTCACATGTTGAAGCAGCATGTTGAGAAGTGCGGGGGAGTTTCATATGTGCTCTCCACGGTTGAGCTGCTGGCAGCGACGGATGGTGTGGTAAATAGCGATGTGGACTTCGAGTTGGGACGGCTGAGCTGGGTTGATGGTTCGGATCCCCGGGGCTTTGCCGTTTTTGCGTTTTATGCTGCCACCTCCAGATTGGCTCCACATTGCACCAGGGCCGAAGCAAGAGCTTGACTGGCCATGGTCGTGACCAGAACCAGCGATATCCCCTACAAGTTGTTAGAGTTGGATGTGTGGAGCACTATCAGTGGAGGAGCTTCCAGGCTTCACATTCCCAGGAGTATAAGGGGGGTCTCTCATTACACACTATATAGGTGTTGTCATGAGGTTCTAAACCCTATAATATGATTCCTGTTCGATGGAAGCTGTCCTCGACCTCGTTCTTCAATGCGAAGACAACAGGATTCCCATCCATATTCATTGTAGCTCCCGATTCCGACCTTTTTCTGGGGGTCAACCGCAACGCGGCTTCTGTGGGAAAACGAATCAGATTCTCTTTCGACTCGTCTTCTTGCTAAAGCGTCCGTGAGCATTACGTTTGATAGAAAAAGCTGTCACCCCTGAAGGAAATCACTCTAGCGCCGGATTACTAGATTAATGACCAGATGAAGGGTTTGGGCGATACCCGTTCCCAACACACGATCCCCTAACTCCGCGTCCTGTTATGAAGGGCTGGCAGGACACGATCAAGAAGGACATTAATGAAGACGAGGTGCTTGCAGAAGATACTGACCGTGAAGAGAGAAGAAAATGGAGATGACCAACCATAACAGTGGACAAAAACTCTTCAACGGCGCGAGATCAGCTAGAGTAAAAGACGGTGAAATCATCGGAACTAGATGCGCCTTTCATCAGTTTCAAAGGAATTCGGTCGAAATAAAACAACAATTAAACCATTACTGTCCAAATCATTCAAAGAATAGTATGGACTGTGCAATGTCCATACAATGTCTGAAGACCAGATGATATGATATCGAGTTTTTTGACTATCAAAATGATATCATACCAACATTTCACCAACTGAATGAGCTCTCGATGTGAAGGATGCAAAAACAGCCGAACTGATGAAAAAATACGTGAGGAAGTTGAAGGGGGAGCTCCTGGGAGAGTGAAGCCTGGAAGCTCCTCCATCGATAGTGCTCCACACATCAAATTCTAAAGATTTGTAGAGGTTATGGGTGGTCCTGGTCTCGACTATGACCAGTGAGGCACTTGCTTTGGCTCTGGTGCAATATGGAGCCAATCTGGAGGTGGCAGCATAAAACGCAAAAACGGCAAAGCTCCGGGGATCCGAACCATCACCCCAGCTCAGCCGTCCCAACTCGAAGTCCACATCGCTATTTACCACACCATCCGTCGCTGCCAGCAGCTCAATCGTGGAGAGGACATATGAAACTTCCCTGCACTCTTCAACATGCTTCAACATGTGGCTCCCTTTTTTGGCTACCGTGCAGGTTATTTTCAATGCGCAGTCCACCGGCGCTTTCTACGGTGCGGACAGTCGACGCCATGAATGAAACAAGCGACGCTTACTGGATTAAATCGGCAGTTTCTGATGAAATCATTTTCACACCTTTTTTGGCACTCGGAAGGCCATTTAGCGGAAATGGACCATTGTTCTATACTCAGTGCTCATGCCTCTACAACATGCAAAAGACCATTTTCGAAAAGCGTCCCACGCCCTGAAAAACCTTCCTTGTGAGAAGGGTTTCAGGCCTAGATTTGTGTTCCTTAATCCTACATAAAATGGACTGTCCGGTCTCGCCTATGTATTCGTCACTGCAGTGCTCGCATGTGATCAAATAAATCGCCCCTGACGCCACGCGGTCCCTCTCTCGCCCATTGGGACAGATGACACAATGAGAAGGGGGGGGGGGATAATGCAGAGGCGGTCGTACACACGACTTTGAACCAGCTTTTTCCTAAAATTTGTAGGAGAAACCGCGACCACCTGCACCATGTCATCGAAGCCACACTTGCGAAAGCCGTTCTCACGTCAAAACCATGTCAGGGGATTAGCCGTGGGAAAGCGGCTGGAACCAGTGCTAGTCATCGGAGCTAAGGAGAATTGTTTTATTTGCTAGGGATGAATCGGTTGAGTTTCCTGATTATAGAAAAAAAGTCTGCCTGTCTTTGGCCTCAAAGATGTTCCATATGACAAGGAGAGTTATCTGGCGCATTAGCTCACCATGGTCTAAAGACTGAGTTTTTTGATCCCTTTGTGTCTTTGTGTATGTGTGTGTTTGTAGACAACACACACATAAAGAGTTACACGACACGATAGATAGGCATGGCAACTAACTCACAGACATACACTCACCTGACACATGCGCATGAACCCACTCATGCACTAGTTTTCAAGGAAGCTAGCCTCTTTCGTGAAAAACTGGAGGGGTCCGTCTCTGCCGTATAACAATCGGCCAAACCTCTAAAAGTAGATTTCAAGCACGCGAGAGACGAAATTGCTTGAAAAAACTGCGATGTGCAAAATTTGTGGATTTCTGGCGAACTAAGATTTCTCGGTTTTCCTTGTTGTTGTCATTGTGAATGTTTGTTCCAGTCAGTATAGAATACTGAGTGTGCAGTAGGCTTTGATGGCTTTTTTGATCTCATTTACTCCACTCCAATCCACGACCAATATGACTTTTTCGACCGATTTTTGCATAACCGACTGCACAAAGCAAGATCTCGTGTGTTCGTACAATTCTTCGAGACTACTCACGGAGGCAGGATGCCCAAGTCTTCTAGAGATGGAGCTGCTCCTGCTCACACCACACAGCTCTAGGTACTCATTCAAACTATGGTTCAACAACTACGATTTCAGCATGAAGAGATGAAAATGTTGTTTTCCTCGTTGGTGTCGAACAGAAAAGGCGCACAAGAGATCCAGAAGAACCAATATGACCAGTTAAACAAGGATATCGGGAAGTTTGTGGCAGATGAAGATGCTGGACAGACTTTTGACTACTGGTTCAAGAGTAGGGACCTATCATAAGAGATTCTTGTATTCTAGAAGATGAGGAAGGAGATCTTATCCTATCGAGGTGCGATAATGCCGCATAACGTAAATATGCAGATGATGTTTTACCGTTACAACCGCACGAGATTGATTTCAACACGACGGTGAGGAATCTTCAAAAGTTGTTTACATCCAAGAAAACTTTGATACGTAGGAGCCACGAGTATTTGAGGGTAACGTGCCCTCCACTCACCTCAGTCTGGAATATCGAAGCACGACTGAATTCGGGCAAGCCGATGCATTATCGCGGCCCATTCCAGCAAAACCGAATCAAACCGAAGAAGCTGTAACAGCCAAGATATAGCAGGATATAGTCGCCGTGTACGAAGCTACTATAAAAGCACCAGTGTCCAAAATCCTGATTCAAGAAGAATCTGAGAAAGACGAAGAGATGGCCAAGGTCACCAGAACATTGGAACAAGGAGTATGGTCGATAAAGCTTGGAACAGAAAGTGTAATTGGAAGGCCTTATGACATACACTGTTGGTGCAAGGTGGATGTCTGTACTTTGGCCACAGAATCGTTATTCCCAAGTCACTTCGTGGTGCCGTAGTGAGGCAACTCCACGGTGAAAATCCGGGAATGACAAGAATGAAAATGCCTGCAAGAGGATATGTTTATTGGACGAACATCAATAGAGACATTGAGGAAAACGTGCATAGATGCCGTTACTGTCAAGAAACAGCCAAGATGCCAAGAAAGACAGTTCTAACCAGGGAAGGATCCCAAGTCAAATGGCCATTCGAAATGAGACCTACACTGCTGGACGTGTTTTTGGAAGCTGTTCAAATCTGCTTTCCAAATTTGCCGAGAGTTTCTGTGAACGGAGTTATGAGGGTAGTTTCAGGGAGTTTAACATGAGAAAGCTTAAATTACATGGATGTACCCCATCTCTCAACGGCGGCTTGGCGTAGGGTAAGCGTGACGCTTCATGTGCGAGAGACTAGGGTTCGGGTTTTATGGAGGACGGGATTTTTGCATTGTAAACCATTTTTCCCTTGTAAACACCATAAACTACTCTCATGGTGATTTTATCACGTTTAATGACCATTTAATGCTTTCTGATATTTATCCAGACAATGTAATACTACAGTTTTACTTGCATGCCCATGCACTCTACATTCACAGTAACGTTCGCCATTTTAAGAACAAATATGGTACTCTAAAACTAAATGCTCGAAACAAAGAAGCTTCTCACAATGGGAGCAACGGGACGAAAAAGAACTCGTCACAGTCTATTGCTTTATACTTACTAACCCCAATGCAGAAGGGAAACCAGAATTGTGTAGGCTTCCCAAAATCACCCGGATGAGCACTCAAATAGCCGGCGGCACACCATGAATAAAAGAGAAATTTCCTAAATCTAAGAGCACAGAACTAACAGTAGACAGTAAGCAAAGAATGGGGTCTCGAGTGTACATGCAAAGAGTTGAGTTCATGGGCTGTCACATACATATTAGGTGGTGCGTTTAACCACCTTACAATAGAAATAAGAAATGAGCATCTATCGGCTGTTCTATCCTCGTGGCAACCTCGAGCGGGGTGTCATTCCCCTCACCTGCGTTTGTGAGGTAAGATGCGCTGAATAGCTTTCTGATCTTCGAATGATGTTCACGAGTCCATTATCAACACTGCCGGTGTTGGCGAGTCCGGAGCTGCTACGCACCATCGCACCCAATCTAGCATCAACCCCCATTCTAGCATCATCATTCCTTATCATATGCGCTTTACTCGCCCGGAGCTCCAAATTTTGCGCACGGAGGAATCTCCCACTCGGTAACAGGTAAGTAGGTAGGAGAAGGTATCAGTAAAGCGCTAAAAGGTCATAAAACGTGATAAAATCACCATGAGAGCATTTTCTAGCCCTTAAGGGAAAAATTCTACATAATGCAAAAGTTCCATCCCTCACGAAACCCAAACCCTAGTCTCTCGCACATGAAGCCACACATTTATCGCTACACCAAGCGGCCGTTTAGAGGTGAGTTGCAACCATTTAATTTAAGTTTTCTACTGTTAAGCTCCCTGAAACCACCGTCACAACTCCGTTCAGAGTAACGCTCGGCAAATTTAGACAGCAGGTTCAACTCAGCATCCAAAAACACTTCTAGCAGTGTAGGTCTCATTTCAAATGGCCACTTCGACTTGGGATCCTTCCCTGGTAAGCTCACTGTCTGACGAGACGAAACCTTGGAATCGAGTTCACATCGATTTCGTCGGACCCATCAACGGAAAGATGTTCTTGTGGTAGTTAATTGGTACTCCAAGTGGTCAGAGTTCATCGAGATGTCGTCGTCCACAGTAAAAGCAACTTTGAGTGAACTTAAGATGCTGTTCACAGGATTCGGGAATCCAAGAGTGATTGTGTCAGACAATGGAACACAGTTCACATCAAAAGAATTCCAAGAGTTCCGCGAGAAACAAGGCATAGAACACATTCGCTCAGCGCCCTTCCATCCGCAGTCAAACGGACAAGCTGAGCGTTTCGTCGACACTCTGAAGAGAGCTTCACTCGAATCAAAAGCAGGAGAGGAGTTAGAACCCCTAGCAGAGTTTCTAAAGTGTTATCGAAGGACGCAGTGTACCACGACTCCTAAGCAACTTTCTCCAGCAAAGTTACTTCTTGGACATCAGATTGGAACAGCCTTGACGCTGCTGAAGGAAACAATAATAATGGAAAGGGATCACACAACACAAGGATGGAAAGACAGTACAATCTTCACCATGGAGTACGTGTAAAATCGCACCATATTGAAGATCCAGTTTGTATTCGGAACTATCGTCGTGGACAGCAAAAGTGGATTCCTGCCCAGGTGAAAAATCGTTATGGACGGGTATTGTACGACGTTTTGACGGAAGACGAGCAATTTTGGAGAAGACACATCAACCAAATGCGAACCAGATCGCAACGAAGTGCCACCGATCAAGCATGAAAACAGTTGGGAAACTTCTCGGCATGAAGATCTACAATAAGAGTATAATGAAGTGCACAATGAAGAAGTGCGAACCACAAGAAATCCCAGCTACGAAATTATGGGTTTAAATGCAACCGCCACAGTATTAAATAGAATGAACCGACAACGCCGTCCACCCAATCGTCTCCAAGCAGTCCGAGGAAGAAAAATATTAGGTGTTGGGGAATGATAGCAGTGATCACTATCATGCCCTATCATTGTGTATAAAAGAGTATCCTGTTGGGTATGGCTCATTCTTTGTGCTAACTCCAATGAAGGACTGCACTAGTAATCTGTGGATTTACAAAACTACTGCTTTTCAATTCGTCGCCCGGATCTCTTCAAGTCTAGAAAAGACTTTTGCTCTGGTCCTCAATGATGGTTCAAGATGGCTTCCTGAAGAGTAACGGAACATTCACCCAAAACTGGATGGATGTTTCAAACCGCGCGGCAAAATTTGTGGTAATTCAAATAACTCTGGAGCCTATCACTGAGGCGAAAATTTGACGTAGGGTAGATAAGTGGAATCATCTGGCTCTACTTATACAATCTTCTTGAAACCCGTGCCCCAATGATAGGCGCCAGAGTCGTTCTAAACACCACGAATTTCGCCGCGCGGTTTACCGCGACCAACCAGTTCTGGGTGAATGTACCCATACCCCTTCCTGAAGGCTTCTTTAGCTGAGCTACTCTCCTCAAAGAAGTCAAAACTTATGACTCTCCCGATAATAAGCTTTGAGTTGCTGATAATACAAGATAACTGTATGTCATCATATATGTGGGGTGGGATGTTTCTCGAAACATACCTTCAAGTAGTGTGCATTTGCTGTAAGGTTTGGGGAAATGTGTATCTCAACCGTGTGATTTAGGTTCACTGGTCTCCCACCGAAACAGCTATTGACTCTCTCAGTTGACACCCCAGATGCTTGGATGGTTGAAAACGTTTTTGCTGAGTATGACCTTGACAACATAAAAATGGAACAAGTGATATTCAATGTTGCTTTCGCAAAAAATCTGCTAACAGCAGCCTCAATTGTATTCAGAGCTCTTCTAACATCGTTGCGCTCTTCTCACTGGAGTATATACTGCTCGAAGGCCACTGTTTTGATGAAGCGTCAGGATCGCCTCCGCGTGGTTTACAGTTTGTCCTTGGAACTTCTCTCAAGCCCACACAATTCGATACCGTTGTTATGGCGAATCTGGGCTATTTTCAGTTGAAGGTAAGTTGATGTTCAGCATAATCTTTTATTGCCACACTACCCAGCGTAGACAGAATGCACACATGTGAACACCTTGGCTTTGTAGAGAACGCTACGCAGGAAGGTACTCATCAAATGCATAATAGTGCGCTGTCTGTGCTTGAATCAATTGAATAACGCTCAACGTTCGGTGGTGTTGAAAGTCATGGTGTTTCTAAGTAAGATTCATTGTCACAAGCAACAACAAAGTGCACGGTTTCCATTTGAGTTATTAACACGCAAGGTTGTACGTAAAATCTCAAAAAAGTGTTCTAGCCATACGCTCTTGATGTTAGGTTGATGCATAAGTTCTCCCCGTGGTTGATCCTTCCGTATTTCGTTCGCATGGATGTTGGTAATTCGTCATCACATGTGCGTGTTCTGTGCATGATACTCTTTCATCACTCTGGCTATCACACACCCACCTTGCATATGCAGACGACAATGTCGCACAATTACCTTTGTGACAGAATGTATCTACGTCACAGCCTTGCTTCGCTTCAGAATTCCGGCTGGCATGCAAAGGAAGCCCATAACAAGATAGTGGATACGGCCAGAACGTTATTTCTCACCGCACATCCAAGTCTTGGTACGCCAAATTCAAGAAAAAATACTTTCTCTCGAAGATGCTCCGAGGTCGGGTCGGGCGATGGAGTTGGATTTGCAAGTACTACGTTCCACCGCGGAGAAGGACCCGTACCTAAACACCAGGGAATTGGCGACCATGCTTGGCTATAATCAATCGACAACTGTGCGTGGACAGGATCAGGTAGCTAAGGTAGCAAAGCTTGGTCGATGGGTCCCACATGAATTGTCCACTTATGACCTCTCGAGGGGTGGCCACTTGCACTTTTCCCCTCACTTTCCAAACGAAGCTCCACTTTCTGGACTCGATGATCACTGGATATGGCAAGTGGGTCCTCTACTATAATCCAGTGAGGAAACGGCAATGGGCGAAAAAGGAGAACAGCCATAAGACATTCCCATGGTCGACCTACACCCCAAGAAGGCTCTCTTGGTGGTCCAGAGGAAACATTGAGCACTGGGAACCGCTGCAGAAGAGACTGGCGGTTGACGCTTCCACATACATTACCCAGCTGCGGAAATTGAAAAATCACATCGACCGTACTCGTGGATCGAATGCGGAAATCTACTTCCACAATGACAATGTCCGACTTCACACCGCAAAGGCGACCCAGGCCGAGCTGGAGAGATACAGATGGCTGATTATCGCCCAGTCCTCTACAGCCCTGACCTCGCTCCTTCCGACTACTGGCCGTTCAGCCACATGCGGCGCTTTCTAGACGGAAAAAAGGTTGAAACAGAAGTTGGTGCCAGAAAAGCACTCGACGACTTCTCCAAGTCCCAGCACCTGTCCTTGCGTGAGGAAGGAATCGACAAGCTGCCTGAGCGTTGGCGTCGAGCAGTGGGTAGTGATGGTGCATACCTCTGATCTTCAGGATGGTTCGCTATTGAAATATTTACAAAAATGTCGTGGGAAAAAACTTATGCATCAACCTAATACTTATAGTGGTCAAATGTGTTCAGTGTGAGTTCCGCGTACGTAGTGCAATACTTCACCATGACTGTGTGCGCTGCTCCCAACGGGTTAAGACCATATGCATTAGATATATTGACCATTTCTCTCTTAAGATGCCGAGCTCAATTCTGCTTTCGCAGTTTGCAAAGCATTTTTCAGAAGGAGTTAGAAGTCTTTTCGTCAGCATTATTGGTGCGTTGGTCGATTTGTGTATCAGATGAGGTGCTACAGCGAGAAGCAAATGATAGTGTTGTGGGAAAGGTCGCTAGTGCGTAGACACTTTTCCTGGACTCCTTTGCAATTCTGCATCCTTGATTTTGTGCCTTTTCTTGAACAGGTCTTACAACAGTTTTGTTCAGATATTTGTTTGCTTTGAATTACTGATTGATTACGGAAAGAAACCAACTTTCTATTGATTAGAGTTTGGAGACACACTAATCCATTAATTAGGGTGCATGTCTATCGGTTTGGGTTTGGGATAGGTTTAAGATAAAAACTGATCTCACTTGCTACTATGAACGAACTCGGCTTTCAATTAGATAATCGAAAGAAATCGTCTCATGACCCAAAGAGTATAGTTCTCTCCAATTTTGCTTTGCTTTCAAAGCTGGTAGTCGTTGAATTGAAATCGCAAATTTAGTCTCATTTGCCATACGGGAATGGAACTAATGGTTAATCTCACAACGTTTAGGTGTCTTTGTAAAGCCTTAGCCAATAAAGCCTTTGAATGACCGTGTCTGCAGTGCACCTCTCCCCCCCCCTAACTGTGTCATATGTCTAAACGGGCGAGAGGGGGTGCATGGCGTCAGGGGTGAACACGCGAGAGCTTCGCCGAGACTAATACATAAACCCGACCGGGGGGAGCCACGTAGTGTTAAGGAACACCTGGCTGGCTGGGATCAAAGCCTCAAACTCTCCTGGGAGACCGTATCATAAAAATGGGGGAGACAATACCACAAAATGTACAGTTTGAAATATCTGTCAAAATTTTGATGTAGGAGCCCACGACCTCCGCGCATAAGCTTCGGAAGCATTCTGGATCGGTGCGAAAAAACCCCAAGTTAAATCAAAAAAACGAATGTCTAGTCATAAAAAATGAATTTACTCCCTTGCTCGACCTGTGTGGGCTACAATTGTCACCAACTTCGAGTCAGAAATGTCCACCCACTGCGAAAATGTTTGAATAGGTAGTTTAGAAGGTGGTTCACTGGTCTTTTCTCTATATTAGAGATGAGTTCTCAGTTGTAACTTATGAGACCTTTCTGTATCTCCATAAATTGTACTTGAGCAAAGCTGACGTTCAAATTTTTGCTTGACATGGAACAACCTCAAATATTTTTGATTTCCAGGCTCTGACGAAGGCGACAACGCCAAAATCTTGGCTAAATAAAAAGTTATAACATCTTAGCTGAATCTTTACAAGGATATCTATGCATCGTAACTTATATTATGCCAAAATTCATCCAAAGTTGATTATGGTTGCTTCAGAAGGTTTATTATTTTTACCGAATACTGTATTTGCATCCTCTCGCGCTCCCCTCAGCTGGCTCCTGCAGCCAGAATACCGTACCGATCCGTGAATGGCGTGCGCCAAGTTAACCACCAAAAGTTGTTTCCGTTAATTCTAAGTGCTAGTAATATCAGTCGTTTTTTTCAGATGTTCGCATGTTTTTAAAACGAAATGAGCAGCATGGACGATGAAAAGTTTTAGTTTTAGTCAAGTAGGCCCCGTTGTTGTCAGCCTCCCAATCTCAGCGTCCAAGAAGCATCTGGCACTGAACAGCGTATTTCTTCAACAAGAGTGGATATGATTCACTCTAAGTGTACTTCGGTAACCGACATTCACAAGCGATTGCCACTGGCATGTGCGTGTGTTAATCAGAACAGTTGAGATCTCACTCCAGTAGGTCGGATGAATGCGGCGGTTGAATTGAGGATTCGATATCTTTCCCTTATGAAATTGTCGCACCACTCGAATGGTGTGGTGTTGACATGGTCATAGCGGTAACGATTTTCTCGTAATCGTGTGCAATCATCCAACTGTCTATATCATCGTCGAGAGAGTGATGATACACTTCAGCAATGACGGTTTTTCTTTCAGAATGAAAGCGCCAATGCATCACGGGCTAAATTTCTGTAGCTGATGAGTGTCCGCTCAGAACTGCGTGACTTGGCATGAGGAATTCCTGGCACCTTCTCATCCTTTTAGACTTGGCTTGCGAACACTTCTATGTTTCAATAATAGCTAATGTCAGTTTCAAAAGTGACGGATGACCTCGAGGGCGGAGTAGATTGTTACAGAGGCATAATTTTTGTTCTAAACTTCCGCTTCTGAAAGACGCTGAGGTACGCATACACGCATCTTCTGACCGCCTCCAATTCTTTGAGCATTACTCGGTCAACGGACTCAGCCGGAACGCAGTTCCCGTGGGGATCTTCAACAGTAGTTTAGTAACTGCCTTCCACTATTAGACGCTCAATTTCATCTACCCGCCCTTCGTGTGCAACGTGAACATAGAACACCGTGTACGTTCCTCCTTCCTTGTACATCAGAGCCTGTCTCTTTGTTTTTAGGCATTACGTTCGGAGAAGTTAGTGCCTCGCAAGTGCAGAAAAAATTGAGCGGCGGGTTGATTTTTTTCGACGCCTACTCTGAAAATTTCGCGTTGATATTGGCAGCTCATTTTTCTTTTCAGTTTTTGAATTCACGTCTGCAGCCAGACGGGTGCGCGACGGTGTACTAGCGTCCGATCAAAACAATATCGAAGGAGCCAGCTTCTTCCCTTTCCCACCATCCCGTCGAATGTCTGCGTTTTTTGAATGGGATGAACCAATAGTATTGTACGTGGTGTACTTCGGATTCTGTTTCATATGGTATGAAGAGTTATGGGCAAAATAAAAGAAGCGAAAACATCTAACAAATTTGTTTCTAGTTCAGTAAGGCTATAAAATAAGTGCGAGTTAAGTACGAAGTAGTTAGCTATAAGAACAAAGCCAACTTCCACCGAAGGATTTTCAGCGCAGAACAACAGCAGAAAAGGCCCGAAAAAATGGCGGAAGCCTTGACGGCAAAATGGCGGAAGCCTTCATGCGTACCCTTGTATACTCATGTGTTGATTCATTCCTTGAGGGATGTTCTAAAGTTTATCACCCTTGCTATCGTTATTTTGCATAAGCGACCCTATCACAATGTTTGTTGAGTTCTTTTGACACTTGGAATTTGTGGTCGCAGAACTTTCTCGCCATCCTCATACAACTGGCATACTATGATGACTAAATATCGACCTCAATCATAAGCGTAACCTATTGCGTTCCACGTTTTTTTTCTCGATGAGAACCGATGTGGCTACTATGGTGAGTGGTACTTGTGCTTGGGAGCGGTACTGAAGTTCCTGAGTGAGAGAAAATTTCGGTGATTTTCGGTCAGCAGATGATATGAGATAGGAAGGCT